CCCCCCCCTCCCCTCCCCGCTCCGAAGTCACGCCGTCAGCTCAGGGAAGCTGGCAGCAAGAGCCGAAAGAAAAACAAGCAGAAAAATAAAAAGTTCCTCGAACGTCCGAAGCTGCCCCCTCAAGTCTCAGCACCTGAAATTGCGTGTAAAAATAGATCTTGAAATACAAAAAACAAAAAAGAAAAAGGAAAAAAAAAAAAAGGCAAGTGTGCTTCTGAACATTTCTATTGCGCATTGGTCCGTGAACGGTGTTTTATCAAAAATATGATACAAGAGTTCGTTTGCCGTGTCTTTGACTGAAGCCCTGGGCAGGCCCCCGCCTGCCGCGGCTCAGGCTGCCGAGCGGGGCAAATCTGGGCACTTCTGATACAATCGCGCCAGGAGGCGGCTTTCGGCACGACGTCATCATAGCAGCTTGCGATGGAGGATTTCCCAGGCCATTCGCTTTCGGAAATAGGGCATGTGTTGCTTTGGGTGGGGGGAAAGAGAGAGAGAAGAGAAGGAAAAGGTACGTCAGCACGTGTTTCACCGCTGGACCATTTATTTATTGAGCGGCTGCTCTCCTGGGTGCAGCTTTTTGAGCGGGGCCTTTCCTGGGGGAAGAATTTACTTTCCGATCACTGGAAACAGGACAGCGGATGAGCTCTAGGTAATAACGTAGCTCCGACGATATTCTCTAATTATTAGAGGTAAAATATTCACGCACGGGATATCCCACGGAGGCTGACAACGTTAAGTAACGCTGAAATTCCCTGGGATTCGGGCTACAGCCCCCCACTTCCATTACACCGCTATGAGCGGGTCCCATTACGGGTTTGCCAGCTTCCCCCAGCCGCATTGGTGACGCGCCCCACGGGTTTGAGTACAACAGAAGACCCGAGGATGGCTTCAGAGGCACAATTTTGCGCGGCGCAAAGAACCGCTTGCAGTGCCTCGTGTCAGCTCTGCTCCAAGGAGCAGCAGTACGAGCCCCCCCCGCGGGCCGGGGGCACTTTACACCCCCGGAGGAGGCGGCAAAGGGCATTTGGGAAAAAAAAAAAAAGAAAAAAAATCAAGAGTATGAGCAAACAAGCGCCACGTGCCCGGCTCTCCCCGAGCAGGAGGGGCACGCCGGGGTGGGGTTTACCTGAGTGAAGTTGATGGGCTTGTCTTTGGTAATGCAGTCGGCGTATTTGCAGGCAAACATCCCGCAGTCGCTGCCGTTCATCTGCTGCGGGATCTCCTTTAACGAAAGGACACAAACCCGAATGTCACTTCCAGAGGAGCCAGTCCCCGCCTTCCAGCTTCTAAGGATGAAGAGCTCCAAGTGAAGGACCTCTCTCGAACGAGTCCTAACGAGGCAGGTCTGCACGGACGGGCGAATGCCAGCGCGAGTCAGGGGAAGCGAAGACAAGAGGCAGCAGGAA